CAGGGCAGATGATCCTTTCAGGACCAGTGATGAGAGTGGTGATACCGGGAGAGTAGAGGGAAGGTGGGGTACAAAGGGGGAGCCAACTACAAGGATCTACATATAACCTCCTCCCTGGGGGATGGACAATAGAAAAGTGTGTGAAGGGAGACATCGGACAGTGTAAGACATGACAAAATAATAATTTATAAATTATCAAGGATTTATGAGGGAGGGAGAGCAGGGAGGGAAGGGGAAAATGAGGAGCTGATATCACGGGCTCAAACATATAGAAAGCAAATGTTTTGAGAATGATGATGGCAACAAATGTAAAACTGTGCTTGACACAATGGATGGCTGTATGATTGTGATAAGAGTTGAACGAGCCCCCAATAAAATGATTTTTAAAAAGGGGGGGCAAGGAAGGCCCAACCAACTGAATCAAGAGGGAAGTGGGGCAAGACTGAGAGGGAGTCTAAACATGAATTGACAATTAAGAAATTTAAGCTTTCTCAACTTGAGCAGGAACAAGTAAGTTTTTCCTTACCCTTGAAATATACATCAGTCTATCATCACTCACACTCATTCCCTGCCACCAAATCAATGCCAACTCATAGTGACCTTATAAGGGCAGAGAATTGTCCCTGTGCACAGGAATGGTGGTTTTGAACTTGGCCTGTGCCCAACACAGAAGTGTTTTCTCTCCAGAGAAAGCACTATTTAAAGTCATTCCAGTGCATTTATTAAGATTATTGTTGATTTATCATGACATTAAGGCTCCACAACTGGCAGTGCTATGAAGAAAACCATGTCTGCATCATGAGAAGCATCCTCTTGCTATTTACATTCTCCAACATTTTAAACTAAGAGTGATGATGATATAAAACATGGGACCTCGCTAACCCAACAAGCGAGTTGAGATAGAGACACAGGTATCACGAAATAGTCCTCTTTGTACCTAAACAAAATAAAAATATGAATTTCCATTCAAAGAAATACAAATAAATTAAAATCTAAAAATGTCTACCCATATTTTAGAAAAAGAGAATAATAACTATAAAGCAGAATAGTTTCCTTTTTTACATCCCTAAATAAACATATTGGTTACTGCAACAGTGATTCTAGTAGGTAGTAAGTAATATATAATTTCAGCATCACTGATGAGAACAGTGTTCCTTCCCTCATGACTTATGCCAATAAGGACACTGAAATCCTTTAGACTCATTTGAAATGAGAAAAATAGAAATCCTATTTTTTCATACTCTCTGTATGCTTATAATTAGGGATTTCTTAATCCTTGCCAACATAGAGTACAAATAGCAACTAGAAATTCAACACTCTATTGCAAACAGTTTTTAATAGCAAGTATCAGAGAATGCATAGAATGAGTTCCCCTATAAACAGATGTAAGAACAAAACTATATAGTCAAATAGTTCGTGTAAACTTGCTAATTATAGAAATAACTGATTTTGAATAAGATTGGCCAATTTTCTCTTCTATTTATATCCCTTACATTTCATCTACAATTATCCAAATAAGGCACATTTACTTGTATATATAACTTCATAGATACAAAGACAAAAATTAACAAAGAGGGTTTTTTTGTTGTACTTTTGAATCTCTGAAAATATTAGACCAAAAGTGTTAACGACCTCTTCTCTTGATAGGCAGATAAAGCTTGCTTCTCACCAAGAACAGCGCGTGAGTCAGGGAGCTCTGCTGGAACCAAGACCAGAAAGCGGGATCTTTATTTTCTTTATGGCTGATTGAGATAGTCAGAAGTTGTAGCATAGTATCTGCTCCTACCAAAAACCACTTTTGAAAGTGTCACTTTAAATGGCAATATTTTGGGCTGCAACTTTGTTTTTAGGTAAGAGAAAAACACTAAATGGAATCATTCGATTCTTGTTTAACTCATAACTCAGGCAGCACAATGGCCCCTAAAACTAACGCTAGAAAAAAGCACAGAAAGCCCAACTGCATTAACAGGACATGAATTTTAAGATCAGGAAACAAAACACTGACAAGCTTGGATTTTAGAACTGCGTTCTCTTTAGAAATTAGGTGAACATCCTACTGTTGAGCAAAGCACTTGAATCCCAAAGTAATGAAATAGGTAATATGACCCAAGTTCACAAAAATTGGTCCCCATAGAAACAGATAAAAATTGCACACAAGAACAAGCCAGTGGTTATTTACCAGATTCTGACTCATTTTCTGCTGTTGTTCATTCTGAAAGGCTTACCATCTTGCTGGCCGTGGAGGGTCTGGGGACTTTGTATTCTTTCTTCGAGATTGGAGCTAAGGTCAGAGTTCACAGCTGACATCCGTGTTGAATCACTCATATCAAATTCATCGCTTTCTATTGAACTTTCATCCTGAAAATGGTTTTAAATATCATCAAACATTATAAATTATAATAAATTCAAATAATAAACATTTTATTGACCGTTCCAGATTCTAGCAAGTAACATTTTACAGAACTCAGTAAAAGTAGTTTATCCAGTAGGGGATACTTGTAATTATAAATAGTGGAATAATGTCTTCCTTCACGTAATTTCAAAACTTGTGAATAGCTAAATAAAAAAATGTACCTATAGGTTAGCAGATTTAATGGGTAAATTGAGTGTTTCGGGAGAATGGTGTTTGGGAATAAACCTGTATATGGAAAAGAATTTTTTTAATTAATAAAACCCTCCTAAAAGAGGCCATCACAAAATATAATATAAAGAGACAAGAAAGAAACAGAGGTGAGGGGGGACAAAAAATGAAGGGTTTAACAGGGAAAAATAAATATTTATAAACTATAATAAAGTAAAAATTCCTTCATTAAAAAAAAACACCTCCAGATTCATCAATCCTCAGATCGAATATTTGGTCTGAGTGACTGAAAAAGAAGGGAACATTAAACTGAATTGGCCTTGGGGTCTTTAATGACATTCATGTCCATTTCAAGCATATGGGATGGAGATTTTACATACACACACACACACACACACACACACACACACACACATGAAATCTTTGATTTAAAAATGATTGACCTAATACAATATTCTAAGCAGAAATCTTAGAGCACAGTAAAGAAGTCTTCACCCCCAAAACTTAATTGGCATAAAGGACATATTCCACTAACAGGCAAACACACGTATATTCAAAGTCTACATGTGTCATCGAATAGTGAATCTTGGCATATCCTCCTTCCTTACAAGTGAATGAATATTACACTGGAACCACAAAAGGGCGTTCTAGGCAAATTTGTGCAAGATCCCTGTTTGCCAAAAGTTATTTTAACAAATGGCTAAATTACCAAAACACTAATTTGCTACATGATCACTTCATCGAGACCTGTCAAATATTAAACTGACTCCTAGATGTTACGCTGCAGCCACTTCATGAAGAACAGATTTTCAGACAAATAGAAACAGGAAGGTCTGAGAAGTCTGTGGAAATGTAAATGTTTTATTGAAGTTACCAGATTAGATTTTAGTTTGCATATTTTGACCTGGGAGTTTGACAGGACTACATCAATAACAACAGTGGTAGTAATACAGCTATTTATGCTCCAGGTGCTAATCTGCACATTTACCTTCTCACTGAATTTCACCACAACCTATGAGCTGTGCAATAGTGTCAATCCATGTTTACAGAAAGAGAAATTCAGAAAACCTAAATCACTTCCTGCACTATAAGATACCAGCACTTGGATTCATAAAATCACTCAAAATGGATACAAGGACTCTTTCGACCCAGCAGAATTACCTTAAGAAAGGGTATCTTGGTATCAGCAAAGGGGTGGCAGGCAGGACAAGTCTAGTCTCTGAAAAGGCACTTGCCCTTGTAGACCCAGTTGATCTTAGGATCTTCCCATTACCAAACACCTGGCTTTTTCTGGCTATACTGAGTAGCTCTAAGTTTTCATTAACTCAGCAAGGAAATGCCACCCTGTGAGGTCTCTGGGCAATCAGCCAGATAGATTTCTCCACAGCATGCCCTCTGTTAGCACATTGTAATCTCTGGTTCTCCATACTAGAAAAACCATAAGCATCTCAAATAAATGTCTCTTTTGAAAGTGGAAAAAAAAAGTCAGAGAATTCAATGTGCATGTTGTAATCTGTACCAGGGACATGTAAAAACATATATACACACAATAAGGCAATGTAAATAGCCATCATACACTGTTTATGGAGTGTATGATCCCAAAGTATTTTATAGTCTACTCTTTGGAATGTGGGTTCAAATCCATATTCTGCCACTTTGTGATAGTAACATAATCTGATGTCAACATGAGATTATTAAGAATGAAGGGGTGGAGGTTAGCCTGTCAATCAGGTCACAGCTTGATTATCTCATTTTGGAGGTGCTACAGAGATAAATAACGTGCTACAGGCGGGACACACACACTCTTCCTGTTGAAAAGACACATGGAGTTACAGTGACAGAGCTGGAAAAGCCACATGGAGACCCCTGCCAGGGCTGAGATGCTGACACCACCACTGTATTCACAGGACTTTCCACCCACTGGCCTGTGATCTTTCTGCATTCAGCGTCATTGTATGTGTTGTATGAGCCTGAAGAGGAATTTATAGATTGGTATCGAAAATGTGGGCTAATATTGGACTTATGGACTTTTTCTGGACTGGGCTGGGATGTTTTCTCAATAGAAAATTACTCTTTATATAAAGCTCTTTTTTATACATAAGAGTGTCTCCCTGGATTTGTTTCTCTAGTCAACCCAGACTAACATACACTATTCACTTGAGCAAGCTACTTAATGTTTCTCTGCTTCTATTTTCTCATCTATAAAA